AAATGGAATTGATAGAAACTGCAAAACACAGCTTTTACAGCATACCTCTAACAGAGAAGTGGTGAGACACATGAACTTCTTGACCGAGGTATGAACTGCAATGTTGCTAGTGTGCAAAGAAGGTTCGTATGTGCCTTCTTCATCTGAATCTTCCCAGGTTGCCTTCTGTGACTTATTCTTCTTCTTAAGATTAGCACACTCATACTGGAAGTGTCCAAAGCCTCGACACTCCCTGCATTGATCCTTCTCAACTCATTGTGAATCGGGTTTTGAGAGTGGCATACTACTTTTCTTGTCCTGCACCACATTCTTGCTGAAATTGTTCCCCTTTTATTCCAGCAAATTTGTTCTTGTACAGCCTTTGACTCATCTTCCCATAGTTTTGCGCGATTAGAGCTAGTGCTTCTTTCAATTCACTATCGTCTGCCAACGGACCTTCATCGTCATCGCTTTCTTCTCTTTCCTCGACTACAGCAGCTTTGAGAGTTAAGCCCTTACTTTTGACTTTGTCATAATTGCTGTTGATTTCAAACTTCCTGAGCTCTCCAAGAAGTTCATCAACATCCAACGACGCCACTCTTTGGAAACTTTCAAGAGCTGTGATTTTTTCTCTAAACCTGGGAACGACGGTTCTCATAATCTTTTTTACTTGACATTTCTCAGAGATTTCTTCTCCAAGCATCATACTTTGATTCACCAGATCTCTTCATCCCTCATTTGATCTCATCAAATTCAAGAGTTACCCGTTGAAGTCTAGATGCTTTGACAGCCGTTGAACCTTCGAATTGACGCCTTCGAATTGACGTTGTAGAACCCGCCAGGCATCTTTCGCAGTCCTACAATGAACTATCATCTTGTGTCTTGTTTGATCTACTGCCATCATGATCGCATACAAGGCACGATAGTTGGCTTATTCTTGAAGCTTCTCAGCATCTATCCAATTGTCTGTAGGTTGACTGTCGTAGCTTCTTTTCCTTGATCGGGTGATTGTGACGTGATTGGATGCTCCTAACCATTTTCAACACTTTCCCACACACCTTTTCCAAGCGATCGTAGGAAAATTGTCATCATAGACTTCCAATAAGAGTAATTTGAACCGTCCAGTTGTGGAGGCCTAGACATCGATATACTTTCTTGATTCATGATTGCACAGTAACCCAAGTCCCCAGATCTTTTCGTAATGTAACGAAAACCCGCTCTGGTGCCAATTGAAATTTGATACTTGAACACCAAGTATCCAGAGTTCCACGAAGATAGAACAAACAGACAGTAAAGAAGATTCAAACAATTGCGGAAGCAGTTTTCACTAAAAATTGAACCTTCAGGAGAGCATCCCACTCTCCCTTCAGATCTCTTTCATTAATATGAACAACTCATACATCATCCAAGGATTTCCAGTATAGACTCCCTCTACACTCTACTTGAATAATGATCCACAAAACTACTTATCTAACCACAACTCTCTTGTGGATTTTCTAGTTCGAATCCCTCAAACTAAATCTGAATGAACCTTCGAGCATTCTGTTACCAAAACTTATGTGTTGTTAATATCTCTCTTTTTCACTCAAGGAATAAAAACATAAAACACAAAAATTCCAGATCAAAAAGTCATCCTCAACTCCCGTCTCGTCCTCCTTTTATCTTCAGCATTTTGGTAAGTCTTTGAGCCCAAGCCAACCACGTATATGGAAAGTGAATCTTGCGATCCTCCTTCTCTTTAGATTATGGAAAGTGTATCTTACTCTCAATCCTAAGGTCCTTCCAAAATGATAATACAAATAATTAGTCGATTTGACTTAAATAAAACCAAATCTTATTCATACCAAAAACAAACTTCCCTTAAATACTCCCCCATCTTTTTGGATCCTGTGATCGTCAGAAGGTTCATCGATTTACTGCCAATAACCAGAATTTACAATTATCATCACTTCAGGGTGACTTCGAGCACTTGGAGACTACCCTGCTCAATGGGAAGGACGATATAACTCTTGCAGGGGTCAGTTATGGTCTTTATAGCTATGAGTTGAGGAAAAAGAACAAACAAGAGACGAAGAATGCAACAGTAGAAGATGAAGCGTTGGTTGCAATAGGTCAGTTGAAGAGCCAAAAGAATAATAAACGAGGAGGATCACGTTTCAAGGCCAAACTTGAAAAGATGAATGTGCTTTATGCCATGACAAGGGAGACTGGAAGAAATATTGTCCTAAGTTGAAGAAGAAGTGCAAATCTCCACAAGATGCATATGTTGTCGAGGGTGGAAACAAAAACTCAGTGTTTTCACTTGTGGTTTCAACTTCATCATCTCATCCAGGAAAACGGATTATGGATTCAGAATGCACCTACCATTTTTCAAGAGATCAATGGAGGGGTTGTCTATTTGGGTAGTGATAATTTTCTTTAAGGCAAACAGAATAAGTTGTTCGTCTGAAGAATCATGATGGATACACAAAAGTTTTGGCAGACGTTCAGTACGTGCTGAGTTTGAAAAAAAATTTCATCTCATTAAGAGCTTTAGAATGTAAAGGATTTGGTAGTGACTTTGCGAGATAGAGTTATGAAGGCTACATCCGGCCCGCTCCTTGTGATAAAAGGTCTTAGGAGGAATAACTTGTATTACTATGAATGTGATACAGTTGTTGAGACATCAACAATAGTTTATTCCACCAGAAAGAAGTCGAACGCAGTCAAGTTGTGTCATATGTGGTTGGGACATGCTGGTGAAAAATCCATGCATACATTAGCAAACACAAGGATTGTTGAAAGATTTCAAAGTGTGCAAACTAGACTTTTGTGAGCATTGTGTTATGGGAAAGCATAAGAGGATGAAGTCGGGAACGACTATCCATAATACCGAAGGTGTCCTGGATTATGTGCATTTTGATGTTTGAGGACCTTATAAGACCCCATTATTAGGTGGAAGACGCTATTTTGTCATTTTTATTGATGACTTGTCCAGACGTGTTTGGGTGTACACTATGAAGATGAAGGATGAAGTGTTTGGTGTCTTTATTACATCGCTAAAAATCGTCCACTTTCTACAGAATCTATCTTGGAAGAGACAAATCAAAAATCAGATTGGAATGAATATCAAGGTCTTACGGATGGACAATTACAGAGAATATACGAGTGATTTCTTTCAAGAAGTTTGCCGTAAAATTAACATTGTTAGGCACTTTACCACTAGAGAAACACTACATCAAAATGGGGTGACAGAGCGCATGACTTGAACATTGGTGCAGAAAGTTCGATGTATGTTGGTCAATGTACTGGGTTGAGACTGTAACATACGCGCAACACCTCATAAGTCGATTCCCGTCATCTGAAAAAGATGGTAAAAGACCATTGAAGGTATGGTGTTGTAGGTTGGGCTTGGATGTCCTGTTGGAAGTTTCCTTCTCCACTTGTGAGAGTGTCCTTTTCCACTTTTGGAAATGTAGGTTGGTTGTTTTCTTTTCTCGTGGATGAGTTTTGTGGTGTTTAGGCTCCCTTTGGAATGTCCTCTCATTTGCTTCGGTCCTTTGGTTGCTGGTTTTGGCTGCTATTGGTCGGACTCGTTGTTGTAAATACATGTTTTTATTTATAAAGTTCTATCGTTTGAAAAAAAATAAAAGAGTTGATAATTATCATTTTGAGACGAAAAAGTCAACTAATTGAATTGTTAAATGAGTGTTATTTGTTTAAGAATTAAATAGATAAGAACAATTTAAAACAATTGTTAAAATGTCAGTGAAGTTGGATTGTGTGGTAATACATAGTTTTTTTTATGATTTAGCCGCCAATTAAATGATAAAATTAGCAAATCTCGAACAGTATTGTATTATAGTTAAAAGAAAACTCATGGAGGGTTTTCCGTAGTTTTCTTTTTGAAATTACTTCAACCACATGCTATTAATGTTTTCCCATCATCTTTATCAAGCTTTCACATTTTCCTTTTTCATCTTGTTTTCCCATATTTCAAAAAAATTAACAAAAAAAGGAAAAAAAAAAAAGATGAAAGAAAAATTGTCTTTAACACATCAACGTAGTGAAACATTTGGTAGATCCAAATATGTTGCCCTTGTCATGACATTCATCTATTTCCTCGATCATGCATGTGGCTTTTCCGAGGGTAACGTCATCAATTCGCTTCTCTTGACACAAAACATCGGAACCAATCAAACAATAGTCGTGGATGCAAACGGACAAGGGGACTTTATATCAGTACAAGCCGCAATTGATCATGTCCCCAGTCGGAACTCAAGATGGATTGCCATTCACATCAACAAGGGAATCTACAGGTGATTTGTATTCCAAATCTAATCACATGATGATTAAACAAGATGACAAACCAGAGAAGGTTAATTTTGTCATGTTTGGAATTAATTTTGCAGAGAGAAGGTTAAAATACCGAGTGACAAACCTTATATATTCATGAGGGGTAGTGGAAAAGGAAAGACATCCATTGTGTGGTCTCAAAGGTCAGAAAAGAGCTATGAATCAGCCACATTCAAAGTTGAAGCTCCACATTTTGTTGCATTTGGTATCAGCTTTAAGGTTCGATATATTATATCCTCTTCACTTTCTTACATTACACATATATTATTTTCTTGTAATAACTAAATAAATAAGAATAAAGAAATTAGCATGTAAGAATGTTCGAAAAAATCTATGTCCTGAAACAATTCACTAACTTAGTTCTAAATTTGGATTATTACTAACACCATAAGCTAAAATGATCATCATGCATGTTTGTGTGGATTTGTTAAGATATGTTTAGTCATGTTGTTATTTGTTTTTAAATTTTATATACCGGTAAAATGCTTTCACATTTAATCTGCGCCCCTTTTTTTTTACTTTTATATTTTCAAACACGATATATCAACTTTCAATTTTCCTTAAAACATTTTTTATCATGTGGATTTTTTTCTAATTTTTTTTTTTAACTTCCATTACGCTTGTGATCGAACAAGAATTCGAACATTGCTCACAATTCGCGCTTAATCAAAACAGAACACAGGTGCGAAAAAAAACTCGGTGGCAGTATTTTTGGAAGCAGACAAAGGTGCATTTTACGATTGTGCATTTTTCAGCAACCATAACACTCTGTATGACTATAAGGGAAGGCACTATTACCACAATTGTTACATCCAAGGCTCTATGGATCTCATCTTTGGACTCGGACAAGCTATGTTCCATGTAAGCAAATCCCAGCAACACTAAATACCCCCAAAGGCTCATATTTCTTAATCAACCTAAGCACTTGCGATTCTTAGACATCAAAATCCGATATACTTTCATTTATATATTAAGCATTGTTTTACAGGATTGTGAGATATTTGTGATTGGTAATCGGGGACTTGAAATCGGAGGATCAATTGCCGCCAACCACAGGCAAAGCCATGAAGAAAATAGTGGGTTTGTGTTTTTGAAGGGTAAAGTGTACGGAGTTGGAGATGTGCACTTGGGTAGAGCCAAAGGGTCACATTCTAGGGTTGTTTTTGCAAATACCTACTTGTCCAAGACTGTTTCTCGTCAAGGCTGGACAAAAAGGAACTATAAAGGCAATACAAAGTAAGAAAACTTGTCTCGTAATCGATACTATTGAGTCTGGTGTAAGTTTATCTAATAGGATTATACGGGCATATTGTTTTACACAAGAGAACATACTTTTATGATGAAATACTGAGTACCGGTTGAGTTATTAAAGGGTTTGCCTCTTAGAAAACGAAAAATGTGAATATGAAGAATTTGTTGAAATAATCAATCTTCTAACATTTGGTCGAGTTTTTAAATTAATTAGCCAATGGTTATGGTGTTGTGCTGATGCTTGTGGTGTTGTTTTTTGTCGATTGGAACAGCAATTTGCACCATGCTGAATATCAATGTCACGGGCCGGGTTCTGATTCTGTAAAGCGGGCCCATTGGTCCAAACAACTAGCTTATAAAGATGCTATCAACTTCCTCACCGTTGATTTCATCACAGGCCAAGAATGGCTGCCTGCATGGTTTTGAAGTACATCTTTGGATTGTGCTTGACAATGGTTGATGTCTCTGGTTGTGCCTTTAAATATTTATATTAGTAGTGTCTAATGTAACTCGTACTTAGGTAAACTGTATAGCACTTGTAAAATTGTTCTTCATTCATATTACAGAGTAGAGAGAGTACATAGTAATTGTTTTTTTATGTACTCTTGTGGTGTAAAACTTAGGAATAAAATAAATGACTATTAGAGATATGAATATCTACGTGATAATGAACATGGTTCAATTCCTAATACTGTGCAATGGATACCATTCCTAATGAAAAAAAAAAGAGTGTAAGAAACGTGGTCGCAAATGTAAATTGATACGAGATACCGAAACCTGATAGAATAAACCAAGTAAATAGGTCGCCCAGACCAAGGGAGCTGACTGGTCGAGCATGACAATAGGAAGGCCGACGGTGATTGAACATTGTCGAGGAAGAACCAGGAGTCTGCAGATTAAAGGTATCATTCAAAATACAGGAAGGCAACGACAGGTCAAGCTAGGGCCCTCATATGGACTGCAGAAAACTCGACTTGTAGGCACAGATGGTCGCACGATCGACCAGAAAGGATAACACTTGGTCCCAAGGTAGGTGACGTTCTATCTCAGTGGCATTGAGTAGTTTGCACCATTAGGCCACCTAATGAGAAAGACTAAATGATAAGAAGGAATCTTAAGGGATTAAGAGACGCATATGGATAGGGCCACGTGGACTAACAGAATTAGGCAACTCGAGTTGTACTATCGAGCAGCTCAGGCAATTCGGGCAGCAATGGGCAACAAGGTATCAACTCCCTATATAAGGGAGTGAGATATGCCTATATTATATTACATTCTCTATTATTCCATACACTATTTGATGCACTTCATCTTTTACAAGTGATCATTTAAGCATCGAAGGCACTTCACTAGAAAACTCATCTGGTGTAAGAATTTTTGCCAATGTTCTGAAAACTGAAGCCTGGACTGGTCATCGAAAATGAAGCTACAAGTTCAATCGTTCACTGGTCGGACCAGTGATTGAGCCGGTTTATTTTGTTATATAATTATTTATTTATTTTATATGTATAATATATAATTTTGTATATTTTCATCATTAATTTTATAGTATATAATATCATTTATCTAAATAAGATTTCTGCAATCAGTAACCTATTGATATTATAACATACTAATACAGATCATTTTTTAATTTTTACCTACACATAAGGTTATTATTTTAATTTTTAAATTATATATTTTTTTATTTTCAATTTTCAAATTTAGATATCCTATTTATATGTGTGTGTTATATTTTTTTTTCTTATGAAACGATAGAGATAATATCTCTACTAATTTAAAAGTGCGAATATTTCTGTAAAAAAATATGTTCACTAAAATGCCCTTTGTAAGAAAAAAAATGTTAATTGTTTGTAATGGCAAAATAATACTTTTCAAGTTGGTTTTTTCATATCCCTAGACCTTTCAACATTGACCTTTGGTTATCCATCTATCCATCGATTATTATAAATATATATTCACAAATTTTTGGTATGTAATTTTTTATCTTCCTCCATTTCACATACGTCAAAATCACCACGACAAACAAATTTTTTTCATCGCATATTTTTGGGAGTATTTTCCCAGTCCGACATCAAAGCCACTTTATTCACTGTCATTGGGAAGCATTTGACAGTATTTTCCCCGTCCGACATCAAAACCACTTTATTCACTGTCCTTGGGTTTTCTTTTTTAGGATTTCCTTTCCGGCAGCAAAACCAGCAGGATTTAGTCGCCTTCATCGGTTTTCCGAAGGATATTAAGGCTGTGAGGGAGAAGGAGAATAACATATATACTATAGAGACAAAATTTTGTCCAACACCTGCAAGTTCCTACCGACGACAACAGAGGAATAGGCGAGTGTTTTCTTGTACTTCTGACTATAATTTTAATTTTTTTATCTTTTTAGGTCTTTTTATATTAATTTTGGCTACTTCAAACTATTTGTCATTCAATTCAATCACTGATTTATTAACAGTTGTTTATATGGAATTTTTTACAATAAAATATTATGTCTTTTCCTGTTGTTTACATGAAAATTTTTTAAACAAATATTATGGCTTTTCTTGTGTATAATATAATATAATATAATATAATATAATATAATTGCTTTCCATTGTTTGTATATGCAAGTCTAAGATGACCTTACTTTCCATTATTTGCATGTGCAATTGTAAAATTACATGTTAGTTAAACAATTGATTTTATGGTGAGTTTTTTATTTCAATAAAATGAGATAATATTTATATGGTTAATTCTCCTTTAGGGAGTAGCCGTATTCCGACGATTATCTCGTTTGGGACCGTCTTTATTCCGGTGATTTGTGCTCTCCTCAGTGAATTTTCGAGTGATTTCAGTAGGTAGTAAGGTTGTTTTTTCCTTTCTGTCAAGCCCTTTCGTGCCTTATAGGGGACTCAGCAAGTGTGCGACGAGACGAGGATTTGGGAAACCGTCTCAACGGATGTTCTCTCTCAGCTAAAGAATCGCTAATTACAAATTTGAAGCAGGATGATATTAGGCTCAGTGCAGAGGAATGTAATCATAGCTTGTTCGGGAAGGTTATCGGGGATCGTAGGGCAAGCTGGATTGGGATAAAGTGCACAATGAGCAACATATGGAAGCTGCATAAGCCAATGGAGATTAAGGAACTTGAACCGAACTTCTTCCAATTCATTTTCAATAATAGAGACTAATATAGTGAAATAGAATTCACCCGGGCTCCTTCAACTCGAACGGCCTCCGTACCTGCAGAACCCAACACCGAAGGGGTCCCGACGTCGGGACTCCGATGCCTAAGTCAGTATTCGATCCAATGAGAGAGAAAGAGAGAGAGAGAGAGAGAGAGAGAGAGAGTGTGTGTAGTCATGAATGAATAGAGGATGAATTAATGGCATACCTTAGCCTCCTTTTATAGAGGGAGTGTACATTTTTAGCCTAAGTTGGGCTTGGCCCATACCATATGTCTTAGCCCATTTACAGACTTATCCCCCAATATATCGTTATTATCCATTAAAGTCGATCTAGTATAGTATCCTATATAAGAGACGATATGAAAAAAAGTTGATGGAGGAACTAATTAGAATTATGATAACCAATTTCTGATTCTTAAAGAACGGGAAAAGGGTTGAGCAGTAGCCATAAAGGTTTCAATGAGCTCCAGCTATGGGTCCAGGTAATTAATCTTCCTCTGGATTGGTTAAGTGCTGAAGTTGGGCTGAAATTTGGTATGGTATTTTCAGAAGTAAAGAATGTAGTGGTTATAAACACTAGTTCTCATGGAGGCAAGATTCTCAAATTACTAGTGAGTATTGATCTCAATGAGGCATATCCAAGATGCTCCATTATCAGATTGGGAGATCAAACAGTGACGGTGGTTTTAAGTACGAGAGACTGGTAATTTATGCTATTATTGTGGTGCCGTAGGACACCTTGACAAAAGCTGTTCCAAAAGACTTGAGGATATCAGAATGCACAAGCTTAAAGAGGGCCAACATGGGGAGTGGCTCAAGGCTGAGGAAATGCCTCCATGGCAACATTCTAGTCCCTCGAGCTCTAGGCAATAAATGAAATAATATTTATATGGTTAATTCTCCTTTTGGGAGCAGCCGTATTCCGACGATTATCTCGTTTGGGACCATCTTTATTCCGGTGCTTTGTGCTCTCCTTACTAAATTTTTGAGTGATTTCAGTAGGTAATAAGGCTATCTTTTCCTTTCTGTATAGCCCTTTCGTGCCTTATATGGGACTCAACAAGTGTGGGACGAGATGAGGATTCGGAAAACCGTCTCAAAGGATGTTCTCTCTCAGCTAAAGAATCGCTAATTACATATTTGGAGCAGAATGATATTAGGCTCAGTGCGGAGAAACGTAATCGTAGCATGTTCAGGAAGGTTATCGGGGATCGTAGGGCAAGCTCGATTGGGATAAAGTGCACAATGAGCAACATATAGAAGCTGCAGAAGCCAATGGAGATTAAGGAACTTGAACCGAACTTCTTCCAATTCATTTTCATTAATAGAGACGATATGAAAAAAGTTGCTGGAGGGACTAATTGGATTTATGAAACCTGCAAGAGACTTTTATTCAAGACACAGTAGCCTCAACATCGGAAATCCCAGAGGCATCTCCATCGGCACAGTTGGATGTTTCAGAATAGGCCACCTCTCAGCCTTGACATTCAATGGAAATTGTTCCAACATGTCCTCTTCCCCAAGAGGCAGCTCCTCATCGCCAAAAGGCAGAAAGAATGATGGAGATTGAAGTGGCTCTGCCTCCTCTGTCTCCCATAGTTGCCCCTAAGAAGAGTTCAGAGAAAAAAAAGGAGATGGTTTTAGCCAAGGTGAGAACATGGAAGAGATCAACTAGAAAAAGGGGAAGACTTCAGAGACAATCAATCCTAAGGCTTGTAGCTGAAATTGTCTCAGGCTCCAAAAGGGACAGAGAGGATCACAACTCTCAGGAAGTGGATGTGGAAGTTCAATTATCTGAGCAACCAGTTGAAAAAAAGTTTAAGGGTTCAAATGAAAAGGTGAGGGATGCCAGCCTTGAGTGGCACCCAACCCATAAATGTTTGTTGTGATGTGGAATTGTAGAGGGTTGGGTGGGCCCTCTACAATTTTCCAAATCAAAGATTGGTATGGATGGATACCAATTCACTTGGGGCAATAATAGAGAATCTGAGGGCTTTGTTGAAGAAAAGCTGGATAGGGCATTTGCTTCCTATGACTGGCACAACAATCGTTCTAAGGCCAAAGTTCTCAATGTTATCAGAACAACATCAGAATGCTCTCTTCCTATTCTCAACTCAGGAGATCCAGCTACAAAACAGAAAAAAAAAAAAAAGATTTTCATTTGACAGAAGGTAGATTTCAAAGGAAGGCATGGATGAAGTAGTTCAAAATGCTTGGCATATCCTTCAATCTGGCACTCACTTCTACAATCTCAAA